TCCCCTTCTCCTCTGCTTGTTAGCCGCCCTGAGTCTCTTGGGAATAGAGCGGAATACAAATTGAATAAACATTCCAAAGATTTCATCATTTCCTCTACTTATCCCTAATAAAAATAGTTCTGGTTTTAATTCCATTGGTTGTTTAATTATGTCCTCAAGCCAGTTTTTATTCTTATCCAATTTTTTTTTTGCTACTGTGCATATCCACCATATATGATAGTATGTTCCTTGGGCCTGACTGTATTTCCAGTTTTCTTTGTAGTCTGTTGACATTGTCAATTTGTATTTTTTCCCCAGAGCTTTTCCCATTTTTCTAATTCTATGTTGTAGCCAAAAGGTTTTCCCCAAGTTATCATGATTTCCTTCACTATTTCTTCTTCCATTTTAAATTGTAGTAGGTAATTGTATATTTTTCTAATCAGCAAAACAAAACAAATATTCTAATGCCTCCATCAGTGTCCATTCTTGGCAATTACATGGACAAATTATTTCAGAATGATCTTCAGTTTGACCATTTAGATATTTTAGTGCTGGTTGAGGTTTTCATCAAAATATTGAAATACATTTTTAGCTCCTAAATTAGACTTAAGAGAGTGTCAGGTCTGTCTCCATTTAAATCCTAAGATACAAAACCCCCAACTGCATGGTTTTAGAGAAGATGTACTTTTACTAAGAATGAACTGATAGCGGCAAAATCAAGGCAAGATCTGGGAAAAATCTGTGTGGTTAAGGCATCAGACTAGAAATGGTATATGTTAGTATCTTAAAAACAAATCAAGTGATGAATCTACTATTCAACATTTCATGCCATTCATATTAATCCAAGTGGACCTCCAAATTCAAGTAGGAAAGTTGGAACCAAGTAATAAACCACATATAAATGTGGAACTTTAGCTTAGTGCCAAAGAATTGAGGCCTTTGAAGTATGGTGCTGGAGAAGACTCGTGCGAGTCCCTTGAACTGCAAGGCGATCAAACTGGTCAGTCCTAGAGGAGATCAACCCTGACTGCTCTTTACAAGGATAGATCCTGAAGATGAAACTCAAATACTTTGGCTACCTAATGAGAAGGAAGGACTCATTGGAGAAGAGCCTAATGCTGGGAACGATTGAGGGGAAAAGAAGATGGGGATGACAGAGAATGAGGTGGCTGGATAGAGACACTGAAGCAGTCAGCATGAGCTTAAATGGATTCCAGAGGATGGTAGAGGGCAGGCAAGCCTGGAAAAACGTTGTCCATGGGATCGCGATGTGTTGGACATGGTTTTGCAACTAACAAAAAAAGTATGGAACTAATTGAAGATGATACCTATAGCCAAATTTGATGTATGAGTGAAGTTGGAAAACTCTTGAAACACTGTTTTAAAGGCCTATAAACCCAGAATTACACTACATCACTTGCATATTAATGCTATAGATTCAAAAGTAAAGAGAAAGGGAGAAATAATATTGGTGAGACCATTAGCAGATGGCTATGAGACCATGAGGCAGGACTACAGATAATGAGGTTTTTTTTAAAGAATGTACAGGTGAAATGTCAAGGACACTGTTTCTTTCAGATGAGTTCCTGTTAGGAGGCTGATCACATTGTCTCTGTTTCTCAGACTCTATGTTCACCACTTGAAAATCTTCTCCCAGCCTTCACCAGTCCTTCTCTTTCTCAATGTTTTATGGCTGTGTTGACAGATTGGTTTCCCTGGAAAAGATCCTTTTGGGATGTACAAATATTGTGATATACAGTACCTCCTGCTGAGAGTAACTAACTTAAATAAAATTGACTGGATAGATAATAATTGAAATGGATCAACACAAGGGAAGGGAATAATGGATGATCCTTGAACAGAACAAATTTATCCAAAGTTATTATGTGAGAAGCAAAAAGTGGTGCCAGAGGTCTCACCTTGGGAAAAAAACCCAATAATAAGAATATTTCTTTCTATTTTACTTTTATCATTAGCTGCTCCTTCGTATTCAGGTCTGGTCTTAGTAAAATAACGTAGCACTTGGGGATGAAGATGCAGCCCAGAAGACCAGCACTGGAGGCCAAAATGGAGAAGATCTGCACAGCCACCATGTACTTCCCTTTGGTACTCAAGTAGGCTGGCACAAAGGACACCCAAACACTGCAGAAGACCAGCATGCTGAAGGTGATCAGCTTGGCTTCATTGAAGGCCCCAGGGAGATTCCTGGCCAGAAAAGCCACCATGAAGCAGATGGCAGACAAGAAGCCCATGTAGCCAAGAGCAATGTAAAACATGGCAACAGAGCCTTCATTGCATTGTAATGTGATCTCTCCAAGCTGAGAGTGCATATCAGAATCAGGGAAGGGTGGAGAATTCCACAGCCAGAAAATACAGATGGCAACTTGGACACTGGAACAAGAAAGGATGATAGAGTTGGCCAAGCTCTTCCCCAACCATCTTCTCATTGTGTTTCCTGGCTTTGTAGCCAAGAAGGCCAGCACCACCATAATTGTTTTGGCCAGGACACAAGAGACAGCAACCGAGAAGATAATGCTGAAGGTTGATTGTCTGAGAAGGCATGTTGCTTGCTTTGGAGGGCCAATGAAGAGGAAGGAGATTAAGAAACAAAGAAGGAGGGACAGGAGGAGAATGTAGGAGAGATCACGATTATTGGCCTTCACTATTGGAGTTTCTAGATATTTAATGAAGATTGCGAATGTTACAGTAGTAGTGAAGGACAAAAATAGGATAAAGGAAACCAGAATGATGCCCAATGTTTCTTCATAAGACAGGAAGGTGATGATCTTGAGGATACATTGGGTTTGTTCCTGGTTTGGATACTGATCTACTGAACACTTGGTGCATTTTTCTGCATCTGAAAAAAACAACCCAGGATATATCTTTTATTGCTCACCTTTGATTGGCTTAAAGAGAAAACCATCCAAATAGTAAAATAAAAATGAACATTAAAATGGTTTAAGAAAGAGTGAATAATTCTCTCCTTGACTCATAGAGAGAATTATTCATCTTTCTTAAACCATTCTCCATCAGAAGAATGGAAAAGAGACATGGTGGTTCAGTGGCTTAATAACATCAAAGATGTTCTTTGCTCCAGTGGTTTGAGCCCTAGCACTGTGTGGCAGGGTGAGTTCCCATCCCTTGCCTCAGCTACTGCACACCTTGCAGCTTGAAAGCATGTTCTATGCAAGTAAATAAATCAGCATTTCTTCAGTGGGGAGATGAATTGGTACTCTGTGCAGGCAGTCAGACTTCTGCTGACTATGAACTTTCTTGATTGCGACACCCATTGGTGAGGCAGCTCCGGGAAGGAAGAGAGCCTTGGATGACACTCTAGGAAGAACTGCTCATCATTCTTTCTAGTGTGATGCTAGTTCATCCTCCTGTTGTACACCTTATTCACTCATTCTTAAACCAAGAAAGAGCAAGAGTGTACCTAATGGAAGTGGTATACAGGCAGCCAAACTGCTACTCTGTAATAGCATTGTGGTCTCCTAGCCTATGTAACACCATATGATGATGAGGATGATAATAATAATAATTAAAAACAGTATTAAATAGTATAAAAACAACAGAAACAAAGGCAGAATATAAGGAAAAACAGCTGGATGACAGATTAAATAGATGGAAAACCAAAGCTTTGCATGGACAATACTTGAAAAATATTGAAGGAAAATGTGATGACAATGACATGAACATGGCTTAGATGGAAACTATCAAGAAGGAAACATGTAATAGTGATACCCATTGTCATTGGTGAACTTAGCACCATGTCCAAGAATTTTATAAGATACATCAACAAATTGCAACTCCCTGCAATAACATCAGCAGAACTGCAAAAAACTGCGCTACTAGGAACATCATATATTTTAAGAAGGTACTTGGTGGATACCTAGGACGCTGGCAGCAAACTGTATCAACCATTAGCACCAGTCACTGGTATTTGTAATTCATTTTTGAATGTTCAGTTAGCTGAGTTTCATGTTTAATGAATAAAGTGTAATAATAATAATAATAATACGCAAAGTAGTTTCTCTGAACAGAGGTTCTGCTTGTATTAGACAAAGTCTAAGACTCTCCTTGCACAGTTGAAGTAGCAAAAATGGATGGAGCTTTTCTAAAATCACACATACATACCAAGAGTGGGTTCCTGTACCAGTTGGTACTGGTTCATTGCATGCCCACGCGCCCATTGTGCATTGCTTGCACATGCACAGTTGACTGTAAATTGTTCTGGGCATGCACAAAATATGCCAGCAACAGAAGAACAGACTGGGGAAACAGTTCTGGGGCATGGCCAGCCTGGGTCACTGCTGGTTCTACGACCCAGGCCAACTCACCAATACTGGTTTGGCCGAACTGGAAGCAGCCCACCTCCGATACATACTGAATAAATAAAATAATCTTGCCAGCAACAAGCGTGATTGAGAAAAATGTCTAGTTTAGGTGTTTACTGAAAGGCTAGTAAACTGGACCCAAACTGGGTGAAAAGCATATTGATTAAATATTGGTAAAACAAACTTCTCCTGAATGGAAGTAAAAGCAACAAAGAATCCCAAAGTACAGAAAGTGCCTAAGCTGTCTTGTGTCTCCTGATAACAACACAAAAGTTGTGAGCCCCGCTTCATTTGCAGTATGACATATGGCGTACACAATGAACATTGAGGAAAATGACATATTTTCCATAGTGACACTGAAAGACCAAAGGTTAGAGATGCCCTTCCAAAAGCCCTTCCATGGAAAACATCTGGTTTCCTCCAAAGGTGTTTTCACTCACCTTCCTGAGTGGAGAAGGTTCCTTCTGCACAGGGAAGGCAGAGGTAACAGCAGATGGGTTCTCCTTCCTGAGTCGCCTTAGCGAATCCAGGTTGACAACTTTCCACACATCTGGAAGTAGGGAGGCCCTAATCAAAGAAAGTAGGAACACCAAAGGAGAAACATGTAAAGAGTATTCTATGGAAAGACAATGAGGACCAGTTTGATATAATGGTGAAGACACCTGGCTAGAAAGTGGGAGATTGTGACTTCTCATCCTGCCTTTGGGAAAATTTTTAGCCAATTACTTTTTCTTAGCTCTAGAAAGGGGCAGTGGCAAACCACTTCTGTAATCTCACCAAGAAAACTGCCGGGGATTCTTGGGGTAGTTGCCAGGAGTCAATGCTGACATAAAAGTACTTGCCCCTTCCCCCCAAATAAAAAGGGAAGAAAAAAATAGTAACCATTCCACTCAATCACCTCCTCTGGATTATTTTGGAACAACTTGCAAATTGAGAGAGTGGGCTGTACTCATTGGATTTCAAGGCTTAGTAGTAGCTTGAGAACCTCAATAGATGCTTTCAACTCTTGGATTTTCTGATTCAATTCTAAAGCCTTTAAAGGATCTTTAAACCCTCTTCAGTGACATGTATGTTACCTCTTTTTGTCTCTTTCCTCCTTCAATCACTTTGTTGTCTTTCAGCTTTCTTAGTTCTGATTTTAGAGTTTAAGTTCTTTAGAACTTAAGTCCTCTCTGAATATGTGATACACGAACTTCCAGGCAATCTGAGGTACCCTGATTTTGAATATCCTATTTCTTCTGTACAATTTACTGGAAGAGCTAGGGAAAACCGTTTCTCTTGAAAATCAACAATTTGGTATAAACACTTGGTACTCAAGAATTCACTACAGAATTAAAAACATTTGAAATCCATGAAATGGAAGAGACCCATTTTTTCCTACCTTCTTGAGCCATTTCAGTTTTGCAAAACCATCCTGATTGAGAGTAAACTTGAGATCTGGGGATCCTTGTCTTTCTAGATCTCCTAGTTTTAGTTTGGAGAAGGACTTGTTGGGGAACATAATCCAGCTCATGATGTCCAAGTCAGCTTCCAGATCTCTGTTTTCATCCAAATAGACTCCATCCATGGAACCATTATGAAAATGAGGGCTTTGCAGGAATGGATGCAGCTGAAAGAGAAAAGAAAAGTGCAGGATGGAGAGCAATGATAAAAGAGAATGTCAATAAAGATTCTCAGTCATCCAGTTAGATTCATCTGGAGGTTGAGTCATGGCAACTGGACTTCTTTTGTTTTTTGGTTTGAAACATTTCACTGCTTAAGCAACTAAATGTTTCAAACAAAATAATAAGAATAGAAGATAATATTTGTAGCTCTGGATTGAACTGTGGAATCCTTAGTGCTCTATGAGTTTGATTGTTTTCTTGCAGACATTTCATTGCACAATTCGGTAACATCTTCAGTGATACAAGAGGAATAATTTGACAAGTTGACCTTTTCATCCAGTGGTCCTTTATGGTGAAGAATTCATTCCAACATGAATTGATCATCTTTTTACTGGACTTCTTATATTTCTGAAAATTTTATGCTTTTTTCCCCTTGCTTTTAGGTGTTTGAACTAAGGTAAGCAGTGTTGGGTCTGACTAGTAATAGAATAAAAATAAGAAATAATATTCATATAAAAATAATAGCACTAGCACTTAGAATTACATAAGCTCTTCACTGTGCTTTACAGCCCTCTCTAAGTGGATTACAGAATCTGCATATTGCCCCCAACAATAGTTAACATTTGAAGAGAGTCAAGTAGAAACCTGCAGGGAACATCCCCATGAAGTCATCAGCAATCAAAGGGGCTTGACTTCTTAAGACATGTGAAAATTAAAGATTGTAGACCTGTGCAGATTTGATCTTGGAGAAAAGTGAGCTGGGCTTAATCTCAAGACTCTGTAATTAATTGATTTAGATTAAGAGACTTCACAGTGTTTTATAGCCCTCTCTAAGCAATTTATAGAGTCAGTATATTGCCCCCAACAATTTGGGTCCACGTTCTATTGACTTCAGAAGGATAGAAGGATGAGTCAACCTTGAGCCAGTCAGGATCAAATTGCTGGCAGTGGGCAGAATTAGCCTGCAACACTGCATTCTAACCACTGTGCTACCATGACACTATATTAATTTGAACCATGGTTAATAGAATCAAGTAGATACTGATTTCCTCACTACATTTGGATCCCATCACTAGTATCCTTTAATCCTATAACACTTGAGACAGTAGAATCAATACAAGGAATTTCTGAATTGGACATAAAATTTAAGCTTCCTGTTGAATTTCTAGCA